CATTCACAATTTAGAAGTTCTTGTGACTTTTTCTTTGCCTCTGTGTCAAAAAATAAATACAGTACATTATTTTTTATGCAGAAAAAATAGCAATTAATTAAATAGATATAATCATTATGTAAAAAAAAAACTCGTCAGCACAATCTCTTTAGAGCTAAAAGGTGAAACTCATATATATTCTTTAGCCTTATTATACTAAATACTAGCGTAAAAAAAGCTCTAATAGACTATAATTGTTTTTTCAAACATAATCGATCCGTATTTTTTATTCTGCATTTCGATACTATTATTTATTTCGATAAGCTCAGTGATATTGATTATTGCCTAAAGTTATAACTTGATCAGGTTATGTTTTTTTCATGTTGATCATATGACGACTATGGCAAATCAATGCATCATTCTTGACATCTGTGTAAAAGTCGAAGCCTACACTATTTAGAAGATTCACAAGTGTATTCCAGTCATTGAAAGGAAAGTTCTAGAACATTCTAAGTCTTGTTGTTAATGCCGTTCAGTGCCTTTTTCCATTAATAAAAAATCTCTGGCAAAGGATTCTCATATATATTGTTATCGGTTGTTAAGAAAACGTACTGTTCTAACAATATATCTGAGTTTCACAAGAGGTATGATATTCAATAGATGCAGTTATATCACATATTCTAAATCTAGTCTTCAGATAAATTTTCATACTTTTAGTTGTGTATTAGATGAAGTAGTGAAACAAATGTAATATAGAAAAAAAGAATTATTTTATTTTGTTTTCATAAAACGTGTTTCATAAATATCGGCTCTATTTTTTATTCTTTCTTTATCTTATGAACATTGACGATATATATTTTTTTCTTAAATTGAAAAAATTTTATCAAGTTTTTTAAATATGAAACATAGTATAATTGATTTTTATGTCGAAAATTTGTTATAGCATTCTAATCATGTGTGAGATATTTTGAACATCCATTTTTCTTGTATCAAAAAAACATTCGATCATAATTTTTCAGGTCATGATGACATTCAGTAAATCATAATGATCTATTGAGACACACATCAATTAAATATATGGTCCCTAAACTACTGTCTTTCTAGCTTGAGCATGATATTACACTACTGATGTCTTCTATGGGTACGCAAAAATAAATTTTCCATCACTTGAATAGCGTACAACAGAAATGACAGACAGTGAGTGAATAAGTAAGTAACTGCTATTTTTCATAACCCTGACAGAGAAAAATTTGTTCAATATTTTTACTAATGAGACACTTTCTTGTAGTTTGACGTCAATTGAATGTGATCTCTCTTGAATAGTAGCTTAAATGTTACTCTTAAAAAGCATATTGTCAATGCCAATTCATCTTTGAATCCAGCACATAAAAATGGGCCTGATACTTATGAAACAGCCTTTATGCTTCATCATCAGTTTTTCGTTTCATAAGACCATTTTTGATAATCAAATACGAGTCTTTTACTCAGATTTTTTAATTAATAATGAATCTACGCTAATCGGATTTTTTTTCCCATTATCAACTCTACTTCCATGAGAAGGAAAATGCTTATCGCAATAACATATCTAACTTTACAAAAGCATCCATAAACAACAAAATAAAAATATTGCTGATATCTTCAGTAATGAAAAAAAAGAAATAAATATATTTAGAACAAATACGATCCAAATTTAATTTGTTTATTGGATCATATCAAGTTCGAGAATTCATGAAGACGTATATATATATAAGTTTTATATAGAAATGATTATGATCTATTTGAAGTTTTATCAGGGAAGTTCTTCAACTGATTAATTACTTTTGAATCGAGATTATGGACATCATGTAGATCCTAATGAGGTATGAATACCCTGGAAAGAGCCCATAGTATTACCTTATTGCTACTGAGATATTACACTGTTAGCAGAATAACGTCGTTTCTTTGATTGGAAAAACTGATTTTCACTTGAAACTTTGCATAAACTCAAATCTTAGAAAGAAAATAATTTATTGTGAAAATTTTAGTTCTCTTTATTTGTTTCTATTCTGAAATAAGAACATTGAATTTACCTGTGTAAATGAACAATGTAAGAGACATGCTTTTATCATGCCTACATCTTAAGATAGAAATAGCGAAAAAATCGGAAATTTTTACAATTAACTATTATGTTTATAGTTTATTTCAGTTTTTCCAATGTTTATGAGCAAGATCACAGGTTTGATTTAACAAATACCGTAAAAATGCATTACTGTGACAGCAATAAGTTAACAGTATGAACTCGTTTCAAGGTAATCATAACTCATTAGAGTATAAATGATGCACATTATACTGACTCAAAAGCAATTAATCATTTGCAGGACTTCCCACGTTAGACAGAGTCTTTCAAAGGTATAAAAGACTGTTGATTTCATACAATAAGGTAGGCTTCGACTGATTTATCTGAAAAATATAAATGTACAAATTCTATCTTATAGATCTTTGAAAATGTGTTGCTGGATTCTGTTATTTACATGTAATTCCTTCATTATATTGACCTTTTATTACACTAAGTATTCGTTTTCTGAGTATTGTATTTTTTTTTTTTTGCTTGCTTTCTTTCCTTGTCTTTGCGTCGTAGTTATGGGTTATTTATCAATCAGTTAAGCATACAACCTTTTCTGCTTAAAATATATACGATAGTTTGGATCTTCTTCTTTCATATAGTTCTTGTTTTCTATTAATTTTTTATCGTAACTAAACGATCAAATTATTTGTTTAATATAAAAGAACAGCTGATAAATATATTCACAGTAAAAGATCGAATTTATCAATTATACTTTGAAATTTGTCTGAGATATATTTTAACAGGAAACTTTGCCAATAGATGGAGTTAATATACAAGTTTTTTAAAAGAAAATATTTAATGTTTTTTTCTTATAAAATCAGATGCTTAATTGATTATTTTTTTTTAAATCATCTTTATAATATGAAAAATAAAAATAAAATGAAAATATATTTTCATTGGATCATACATAATGCTTATTGTGTTTGTTTAGTCATCCTTCTTCAATATTATCTAGTCTCATCAATTATTATTGTCTTTCTCTTCTTTTTTCACCGTCAAATATATTCTCTTAATTAATTATTCATTTTTCTTGGTCATTTTATTAAATGCATACTATTCATATTGTTATTGTTCTTTTTTAATAAAAACCTATTTATTTAATTAAACAAACCACTTTTTTTTTCTCATTAAGTTAATATTCGATTTATTATCGGTAAGAAACATTGAATAGATATTTATGAAAAAAAAAAAAAAAAAAAAAAACATCAAACGAAGCTAAAAGCTTTTTTTTATCATTAATATCAAAAAGAGACTTTTAACTTTGTATGATTTGGGATACAATTATGTTCTCTTTTATAATCATGACTTAAGATGATTTTTGACGAAAATAAAATTTGACTATATCCATTAAGTTAAGTAATCGACAAAATATTTCTTGATAGTAATGATTATTTTATATATTCTTCGTTCTCATGAAATAATGAGTATAATATAAATATATGTATAGGATTGATGCTTTTCATAGTTTGTGTTATAGTCAACTGAATATTTCATCAGTCTGTTTTGATTTTTATACATATGAACATTATTGATGAGTGACCGAAGCGTAATATCTTTTATCGCTTGTTCCCTTTGTATTTTTTGACGATAAAGATCCTTTCTTTTCTTCTACGCTTCACGCAATTGTCTATCCCATTATAATGCATGCAAAGATATGTATACATGCACACATATTCATCGACCACGTATGTATATATATTGGCCGTAGTCAAGCGTTTCGCTTTTATGACCACTAATACAGATACTGTTCATAGTCTCATTTACTTTTGAACGATCGATCAAGGATAATGATAGAAGATGCATAGTCATAAATATTATCACTATTTATTTCTCTATTGTTTTCCTCGGGAACGATCATTTTACTTGTTAACGGAATAAGTACGTATCATGATAATCTTTGACTAATTTGTCAAATAATTCATTCATATTATATATAATGTTATTGCTTCTATATAATAAGATTTTTATTATTATCTCAATTGTTATATTAAACAATTGAATATAGTTAATTAAATCAAAATAAAAACTTTGCTTTTAACCATATATAGACATATATAAGTACTAAATGTAATTCAGTTTTCCACAATATTTTGTCTTGTCATTTTTCTACTCATAAAACTACGTCGTCTCTTTTCTTTGTTCTTCTCTTCCTCCATTGATAGATAGGTCATTTTTCATATTAAAACAATGAACTCTAGTTCTTTTTCATACCATGGATTTTCCGTTTTTTTTTTTTTGTCTTATCTCTTCAACTTTCTCTTGACATATAGACAGCTGAATGTACTCATTCTAGAGCTTTTTTGACTGATTTTGTTTTGCATAACAAGCAGAAAAAAAGCACAGGAAATAGGAAAAAAAGTCTTAATCACATTTTCATAATCCATTTAACATCATTGTCACACAATATTCATTTTCTTTTGATTGATTTTATTCTTTTAATAGCGAAAATTGATCTGATATAAGCAAGTATATAACAAAAAAAGAAAAAAGAATTATTCATTTGCTGATAGATTAATAAATAAGAGTTTTCGCATATAATCGTTCACTGCAAATCAATCAATCATCGATAATGCCTCATATTTACTACTTTCTTTTGTTCTCGTCCTTCATTTATAGTCTTTTGCTTATTCTAATGTTGTACTATATGTGATTTATAATTGTCAAAATACTCAAGTATTATTATGAGAATTGAAATGACAATGATGGTTAATATTAATTTCAAGATACATATATATATATATATATCGTTTTTTTTTTTCTAGATCTTAGTTTATTATAATCAGAATTTCTTTTTATTATCACATAATTATGTTTTATTTTGATAATGTAAGTTAATATTTAATAATTTAATTAAACAATTATTTTTTTTTTTTTTGTGTAAATAATTTTTAAGGTAGTATAAAATTTTATTATAATTATGTATGCCGATATGATTTGTGATGTGATGCCACCAATACCTGAAGATGGTACTGGTGGTAGTGGTATCAATCATGAAGATATTGAATCAGATAATGGTGATGAACCTCAAACAAATATTGAACAGTTAATGGTATCAATGCTTGAAGAACGTGATAAAGTAAAACAAAATAAAAATAAAAATTCTTTTTTTGTAAAGTTTTGTTTTTTTTGTTTAAATAGTTACAAGAAAAATTACATGAAACAGAAGAAACATTGAATAACTCACAACAAAAATTAATTGATACTGAAAAAGAACGTGATATATTACTTCGTCAATTATCATTAAATGCACCACAGGTTTGTATGTGTATATATATCTATTTATTTTTTTTTGTTTCGTTCTTTTTATATTCACATATCGCGGTAGTTTTTGTTCGATATCGAACGTTTGTTTACGTCAGTCGATCCCAAAAATATAAATAACTGTCATTGATATCAATTTTATAAATCTTTCATTTTCGAGCAAGGCTATTTTTTTTTTGTCATACATATATATATATATTAGTCGAATATGATTCGTTTCTACTTGTTTATATGTAGATCATTAATGATAAATGATGTTCGTCCTTAACGATAAATATTTCATATTTTTCGTTTTCATAACTATTGTGATGAAAATATCGTTATGTTATTTTTTTTTTTTTTTTTCGTAATTCTTAGTTATGTTCATACATACATATATATTTAATGTATATGATCTTGACAATTTATAGTGATTAGATCATTCTTTCTATTGTTTTGTGACTATCATTGGAAATTGGATACATATAATATTCTAATGTAATTTAATATAGATAATGAAATATGATGCTCTTTTTTTGTTTAAGAATAATGAAGATGAAAGCGTGACATTCAAATAGATTGATATCGTATTATTTTCATGATTAATTGTCTACTATGTAAAAAAAAAGAAAAAAGTAAACATCATTTCAATAACAAAAAAATCAATCTATTATTCTTTTAAATGCGTCTGTGTGTGTGTGTGTGTCGCTTACTTACTGATTACTTTTTTTAACCAATTTCAATTGACGACAACGTTAAATGGCATTGCACTGTTTATTCATATCTATTGACTAGAGGTATCGTATCGACCTTCAGTCTTATTCCCGGAGCACATCATCAAGATTGTATACATTGAAATACATTCAACAAACCAATTGCGCTTCATACAAGGTCGTATTGATGACAATTCATGATTATCGATGACAACGTCACTGCCTAGTAATATGTGAAAATGATGATTGAACTACTTCAGTAAACAATTCGTTGCGAGAATATTTTTTACTTCTATTTGTTCTTTCTAAGCATAGTGAAGGAAACCCAAAAGAAAAGAAGCAGAAAGAGAGATATATATATATTATAAATAGAGAAACGCGAGCAAGAGAAAACCAACACAAGAACGACAAATTTGTCGATTATTTAGCTTTACCGATAATCAACTACACACAGACATTCTCACGTTGATATCTACTTGATCGATTCAAATATATAAATACAAATTCATGGATCAAGCAGATTTATATTTTTTTAATACAATCCAATCTGATTATCTTATTAAAATGAATTCATCATTACATCTATATGATTATTTAATCAATAATTTTGATAAAAATGATGATGATAATAGTGACAATGATTTATCCACTGATGCAAATACAATAACAATGGCAAGTTCAACAAGTAGTGATAGTGCGATTGCATCTGACGATACTGATGATATTGATTTAATCAATGATAAACAAATAAAACATAAGAATTCATGGCCAAAAATGTTTCAAGAAGCTGATTTAACACTTACGAGTTTTTCACAATCATTCAATTTATTAAATCAATATGAAAAACAAACGATTTATGATAATGAAATTTCAATGTCAAAATATAAGCAACCATTACCGTGGACGAATTCAACATACTATCATATGGGTTCTGATAAGGTTCAGATAATAACATTCTAAATAACACATCTTTTAAAAACATATTTTATCATAGAAACAAAAAAAAAAACAATGAATTGTTGTTATTTTTGTTTTAGGATTATGTGACACTTGTTCGTGAATTAGCTCAATTACGTGAACAACTATCTGAAAAAGAAGATGAAGTAACAGAACTTAAAGCTGAACGAAATAATACACGTGTAAATAAATAAATCAATTGGAAATATTTCTAAGAATTCTTAAGATTATTTTTATTTTTATTTAGTTACTTCTAGAACATTTAGAACAACTTGTTGCTCGACATGAACGTTCAATACGAACAACAGTTATGCGTCGACAAGCTCAAGGTGTTTCATCGGAAGTTGAAGTACTTAAAGCACTTAAATCTTTATTTGAACATCATAAAGCATTAGATGAAAAAGTAAGATCTTCGTTTTCTTTTTTTCTCAAATAATATTAATTTTTTATTTGTTTTTGTTAAGGTACGAGAACGTCTAAAAATTGAAATTGAAAAAAATATACAACTTAAAGATGAACTTGAACGAACAAAAACTGAAGTAAGAATATATATATATATATATATATATATAAATCAATCATTTAAAGAATGTCATTAGTCAAAAAGATTTATTATTCTATATGATAGAAAAGATAGCATATCATCATCATAGATGAAAACAAAAAAGTACTCATCCATTGACATGTCTCTTTTTGCTTTTCCTATTCAATTTGAATACATATATATATATTCTAATTTGCTTTTATTTAATAATATAATAATAAAAACATTATTATGTTCACACATTGATTTTTTTCTATCAATAGCCATATAATATATGTATCTATAAATTTCAGTGAGTTGTTATCAAAAGACAAAACAAAATAGGAGCAAAACGACCTTGAGTATTTGTTGAGTTTGGCTTTAATAGACAAATAAGAATATGATCCACTATGTTACAATAATAAGGTCGTCCCTTGTGAAAAAGTTGTTTTTTTATTTTCTCACTCTTAGAAAGGATTTGTCAAATAATTGTTAGTGTCAGATCTATCCATCGTTTGAATTCATATAACTTCTTTTTTCAGTAATTCCAGTCATAGTTCTGTTAAGTTAGGTTCAGTTCCACCTTAGAGAGAGAAAACTATTTCAGAACTTATTCGCTTTAGATTGTAAAGAAGTGCTAAATAGTCATGGTTTGATTAGTTCAATCGATAAATATCACTTGACTACAGTTTTCAGTTCTGATCGATACAATAGTTTTTTATTTGGTAATCTTAGCGCCCTGGATTCACTACGTAGATAGAAATAAGAAAAATCCTTCTTGATTTCCATTGACAAATATTTTATCAAAAACAACTTCGAAATAATTATTTTATCAATGTCATTGAACTCTACATACGTTGTTGCGATGTACCATATCATTTTATTTCAAATATCAACCTTGTCTGAGACCCAGTTAAAGGTCAAAAAAGAAACAATCATCATTAGTTTTGCTCTTGTTCCTATCGAAATCGAATTTCGTAAAGTGTCAGCAATTCAAAATTCGAACGAAGTATTGTTTTGCTCCTTTTTTTCTCGTCATGGTTGAATAAAGCCCGTTAAATGACCTATAAAAATATTGTTTTTATCTTATTCATACGACGTTTTTCTAGTGAAACTTAGATTAACAAACGAAACAGAGAAGTCCAAAAATAGGAATACACCGACGGCATCAATTCTCGATAGTTTCAAAATTTATTTTTTTTTAATTTCACTCATAATATAGTTAAGAAAAACAAACTTTTCATACCTTTTTTTGAAAAAAAAAATTCTTTCTCTATTCAACAAGTCAATTTTTTTTCGATATGATACCCATGTAATTCGAATCGGGCAAAAAACTACTGACGATTGAGTTTGGTACTTAAATAGTCGACTATCTATTGTCGCTATATCGACAGTAGAACGAACAAACGTGTGACATGCGTAACAAAACTTCAGAAATATGGGATAATATTCAAGAGTTTTAACCATCAAAATTTAAGTTCGGAAAGTCATATTCAGAAGCAATAGAAAAATTTATCGTCAAATTTCGATCTTGAACAGACTACAGGTTAGATTATTTGAGAATAGCAGTGAGAGGGTGTATGGATCGATGAAAACTATTTTTGAAGTATTGAGTATACTATTCGATACAGATTTTTCTGTCGAATCTGAATACCAATCCATATTTATAACGCTTTGTATACCATATCGAAAACAAAAAAAATCGATTTTTGCCATAATGAAACAATATTTTGAAAAAAAAATCATGCATGATTTGTTTTCCTAACTATATGATGAATAAAAATCAAAAAAAAACAATATTGACATTACCAAAATTTAATGCTTTCAGTGTATTTCAATTTTTGTAATTTTTCTCAGTTTTTTAGCCATTGTTTTCACTATGAAAACATCCTTTGAATAAATCCAGAGAACAACATTTTTATAGGTAACTTGACTAGCTCTATCTAACAAAAAAATTTGCTTAAATTTCGAATTGCTATTACTATTATCTACTACTATCGTTTAGTATTGATCAATACATACTCTTAATCGTATTTACTGTTAATTATGGATACTATTATTCATCAGGTATAATACATTGATATAATAGATCTTAATTTATGCATAATCACTATTGTCATGAGCCATTTATTTTTAATAATATTTAATTACTTCAAAAGATTTCTTTTTCCTTTTTTTTCTTCTTCTAATGAAGTAAGGAATTAAATCTCATTCAATTTAATAATCGGTTAATCTTAAGTCATTTGAATTGAATCCAATACATATGACTTCTGATACGCCCACATATACATGCATTAGTCGCTTCGAATATAAAGTAAAAGATGTTAATAGGACATATGTATATATCATCATAATATTTTCCACATGTTTGTTTATTTGTTTTCGTCTACTTAACTCTCTTATAATAATAGAAGATTTCCAAATTGTCTATTAGGTTTGTTGTTTTTTCAATAACAAATAGTTAGCCAATTATTCTGTAAAACTTTAAAAGAATTTTTTAGGATTTAAAACAAACATTTTGATGTAGGAGGAGTTGTTGTTGGAAAACTGTCAAGTCCAAAATTTTCAGATCCGGATCCAATTTATTGAATATTGTTAGGACCCAAACCAACCCGACGGACTCTTATAGTAGTTAGATAGTGATAAAAAAGTCGATCTAAGCTAACTTTACTATAGAATATCGAAACGAACTAAAAACTTAGGTTTCATAGTTTTAGATGATAGTCTTTCAAATGCACATAAAAACTTAAAATTTCCACCAATATCTCAATTTTTTTATGAATTCTCTCTTAAATCTTATATAAATATAAAATCGTTTTTTTTTAGCTTACTTGTGTTCGTGAAACTCAACAATCGAAAATAATTGATATCGATCAATTAAAAGTAAGATTTTATTTTTCATTTTATATTTTGATTTATTTATTTTTTCATAAATAGAGTATGTCAAATGGTACAATTAATCCTGATTATTTAACAAGTAAATTAATTGAAATGCAAGAATTAATGGATCATCAATGTAATGAATTAATATCAGCACGTTCACGTATACATGAATTAATAAATCGTAATAAAGAATTAGAAGAACGTTCATGTTTATTTCAACGTGATTTATCACATACATATGAACAAATAAATAAATATCAACGGGATTTAAAAGAAAGTCAAGCACAAAAAGAAGATCAAGAAGAACGTATATCAACATTAGAAAAACGTTATTTAAATATACAAAAAGAAACAACACATTTAAATGAATTTAATAATCGATTAGAAAATGAATTATCTACAAAAGAAACACAATTACAACATGTAGAAATTTATTTTTAATTTTTCCTTTTTTTTTGTATCCTATAGAAATAAATAATATATTTTTTCTTTTATTTATAGGCTGAAGAAAAATATCAATCATTACAAGATAAATATGATTTATTAGAACAAAAACTACAATATCAAAATGAACTTGACTTATCATCAAAACAAAATGGGCAAACATTATTACCATATTCAACTAATGAAGATAAATTACATCAACTGCAAAATGAATATGATGATCTACAAATGGAATTAACACGAGTAATATATTTTTATTATCTTGACTTGTAACTATCAACGTTTCTCGATGAAAGTAAAATTGAGTAAAAACTCTTATTAAGGACATATCAACTGTCACGGCTGAGTAATCGAATTATTTGACACGTATTCATAGACTACTGTACTTAAACTTCTGTGCCATTAGACATGAATTGACTCTGGATTGATTAAGTAATTTAAAGGAGAAGCTCAAGATGTTGAAAGCAAGAACTCTTCATTCATCAAACTAAGTATCTGTCTAGAGCTACATCTAGTATTTGTCATACGGAAGATACCGGGCTAATAAAACGGTTGACCGTCATAATGTCGAAAAAATAATATTGACATGAAACATTGTCGGTTAATATTTTAGAGAATTGTAAATAATATAGTGCATGTTTTATTGCATAAAATTAAGTTGAAATCTTAACAGTGAGAAAAATATTAAAAAAAANTTTATTGCAAACGCGAAGAAATGTTTTTCCACAAATAGTCATAACGAGGTTGAAACATAAGAAACATGCCACCGTTAAAACGCGGAAATTCGGACATTTTTGATGGTGTGGAACGCATCAAAAGAAAGGAAAGGACAAATTGTTGCCACGCGTTAATTTCACATTTTTGACTGCATGGGATATATTTGATGGTTTTGCTTGATGAATTACTTTCTTTCTTTTCCATTGTTATTGAAGATATTTAATATGAAACAGTAAGACTTGCTCCTGTCTTATTAGAATATATACAATAGTCGTCGAAAGTCCTCTACTAGATAAGAAATACTTAAATTTTGATGTTTTTACGACACACAGAACTTGATAAAGCCTAATCTCAAGTATCAATCCGAGGTTGTTTGACTTTAATGTATCAGATTTAAAATAAAAGCACTCTTATTTTTCTCGAATCTCAAGAAAACTTTCAAAACTTTTTCGGTTCTCCATCATTTTGAAGTATTAATAGCCTTTCTTTTATATTGAAAAATAAAGCTACACTTAGCATTACTATGTCATAGAAAGGAGACTACAATCTGCTATGGCGCTGAGGCGCAGCAACATCTCCATCATCTGGACAATCTTCACATATATTTATGCTTCATCAATGATTATAATTGTGAAATTTTCATGAAATGCTTGATTGAAGCCGAGAATGTTCTAGCCATTTTAGTCCAAAAGAATATATGATTTTTGAAAGATCGAATGTTGAAGACAATCAGTTTTTTGTATCTTGTTCTACCTAATCATTTCTTTTGGATATTCAAGACCACAAGAAGACCAAAGACATCTGGGCGGAAACTTTCAGAATATTCTAACCACTGGAAAATATGTCTATGAGCGATATTTCAGATAGAAAAATACCGTCATTCGAGTTTTTCATTAATACTTTGAAAGTAAAAAATGTTCAGTAAAATGGTAATAATTCAATCTGGAAATGAACCATTCTTGGTTTCTATAGACCACGTTGAGTTTTCTTTATGGAAAAAATACCAGTTCGATTTCTGATTGGTATTTGAAGATTTTCCTTTCTAATAGTTGAAACTTATTTAGACTATCCACAAGACTATCAGATCTTATCAGATTTCATCGAAATCATATAAAATCCAATAGAATTCTATAGAAATATTCCGGAAATCACATACGAATTCCACTCTTGGAACTCGATCAGCATCTAATGTTTGAGTATAGTACCGATTGAATGAGCACTAGTTTGACGAATGTAGGCTAAAAAGTCAAATTTGAATTTCAAGTTTAGATGTCCTACTCGCTTTTTTTGGACTCTCTCAATGTAACTCACTTCTGTCTTCTGTATTTGTAAATGACTTCGTCAGCGAACTGACACTTCTATACATATAGATGTGACGGCTAATGCACATCTCATGTGTTTACATATATAACTCAACCGTCTAGGTAGAGGCGAATTTGCAATTCTTGAAAACAGAGCAATTCGGATGTCAGTTCTGTGGGATATATGCTGAAATTCAAACGTCGGATCTGCGAAGAACATAACAGGGGCTTCAGGTCTTGAAGTTCCGCGAAGTCTTAGAAATTCTCGAGGCCTATTGTTTCTTCCTCGATTGAATCCAACCGGATGCATTCTTCTGAGTGGAGCAACTCAGAATGACTGATTGACTCAAAATATTATTTTCAAAACTATCTTTCTTGATAATAATCATTAAAAACAATTTGCTAAAACAACTTCCTACAATTCATAGTTATTCGTCAAATATGGTTATGTTATACATGCATAACGCTATATTGATCACGTTTTGTAACTCAATGGATACAGACACATGTTAGACATGTAGTTTCAATGGGTTTTTTTTAATGTGTCTATTTCAAATTTGAAATAAGTATTTTCCATCATATTCTACTTGATGTCCATAACTAACATGTATTTTTCTTCTTTGTTTTTCTTGCGCAAATGATAGAATAATAAATGATTATTTTAAATGCGTCCTAACACAATTCTCATTTCTTTTGTTTTTTGTATATATCTATATGTATCTTTTCTTACTTTTCCTTTATTTGTCTCAATACTCTTTGTTTTCGATCATAATGTTTTTTATTATTGATCTCATTTTTGTTCTTCATACGTTTGTTTTTTTTTCTTCACTCAATTGAACTGTTAATGAATTTCGTATTCTATATAGATTTATATATATTACTTAAGAACATAACTTTGTTTTGTACGTTATTAACAAAAAATAATGTGTGAAATAACCTTCGCTTTTTTTTTTGTTCATCGGATGATTGTTGTGTGTATTTTTTTTTTTTTGTATATTGCTCTAATTGTTTGGTTTAAGAGCAAAATTGAAATTGAAAAATATTCTGAAACAACAATCTAAACAGAGTTGTGTCTTCTCAAAAACAAAAACAAAACAAAAAAATAACATATCGTTCTTTAGAATTTATAAAAAGATATCTGAAGGCCAGATCTTGACTGAACATTTATATTTAAAATTATGTTTCTGCTTTATATACGTTTCGAAGTATTCTCTGTATCTATAATTAAGATTATCATTCCATCGGTTCTTTTGCAATCATACTATTTTTGTTCTCAAATTTTTTTTAATTCAATTTTTTCATATATTAATTAAAATATTTTATAGAAATCTATTCAATACAATCTTTACCAATATTTATGTATTATATTACATCGTAACTCCATCTAAATGAAATATCCTACTGGTGATTTCTTCAAATAGAGAATTTTATAGCAAGTTATACTTTTCTATACAGTTCTTCATATTTCTAATATAAACAAAGATTTTTAAATAATAAAATTCAATCTTTTATTAAATCAATATAGGAACAAAACAAAAAAACTCAAAAAAACAAAATTACTTAAACAAGTGATGCATCTATTGAAATGTGTGGAACATTCGTTTTGTCAATATGTCGTCTTGGTACATCATATATGGGTGATGTCGATTGATGTTTAGAAAATTCATGTATACGATACTGTTCATTTAATTCATTAGCAGAAATAAGTGTTGATTCAAATGGTAAATGATTTTCCGATACATTCGAACTTCCTGAATAACCTTCATCATCACGTAATGGACTTAATGATGAAAGTGGTGGTGATGGTTTTTGTACTAAATAAATTGCTGTACTTGTTTGTGATGATGATAATTCATGATCATCATATACTTTTAATTTTGAAATAGTTGAAACTCCATCAGATTCTATTTAAAAAAAAAGAAAAGAAAAGAAAGGAAATAGAAATATTATGATGTAATACATAAAAAAAGTATGTGATTAAATTTTTAATGCATGTAAAAAAGAAATCAACTTTTTTTCTCAGGTCATCGATTTATAACATGTAAAAGAAGGAAAGTGCACTTACTTTTAGAATGACTCTTATCATCTGTACTAGTGTTATTGATTGATAATGATGATGTTTCCTAAAAGCACAAAAGGAAAAAAAAACTGTTAGCACATGCTATGTGAAATTAAAATGTAAAAAAACATAATGCAGCTGTTGTTGTTGTTGATCACAAAGAAATTGTTTTGTTTTGGAATATATTTCTTCACCATTGTTTTACTTAATCCTCAAGAAATGTACTAAAGGAGTAGTTTATATATGATAACGAGACATTATTGATATATGGTCTGCGTGGTTAGTTCAATTTTTTAATCATGTACTTCAATCACTCTTTTTTTTTTTTGATCGTATTTCATAGAAAAGATTATTAATGCAGCGCATAATGACATTAAATTGTAGAAATTCATATAAATTTTGATGATTTAGAAAAGTTTTTTTTTCGTAAACGAAGAATTGATCATGTGATCTGAAATTTTTTTGTCATTAATTGATTAGTTTATTGCATTAGAATCGATATTAAAGAATCAAAAAGGAAATGTTTGGAAATTAAGCTGTGTGGAAGATTTTCAATTAGTGATGAGCGAATCATCTTTGTTCACGTCTATTTTCAATGTATTAGCATGCTTTTGGTTTTAATCTGAAGAACTTATTTCTATATAGCTGAATGTTCAGTCATAGTTTACTGAACTAAAATATTTTGAGCATCATCAAAGTAGTGATGGTGACATCATAATACGGTAGAGAAAGCTCGAGAAGAACATTGATCTGCCCTTGTTTCTAAAAGTGTCAAGATGAAGAAATGTTTTTCTTTTTATAATTAGTTGTATTCTAGAAACAATCGTTTTAGTTCAACTTTCTCTTATAAAACAATACACTTTATATATTCAAGATTGTTATGCCCTTTTGTTGATGACATAGTTTAATACTTGAATCTTAACTTGATCTTTTCTATATGAGTTCTAAATTTCTCAATGATATTTGTTTTAAAACACTTTATTGTATTGAATTGTTAATTAAAAGCAAAGTTTGCTTTCTTTTTTTTAGATCATAAAAAAAAACTTCCTATATACTTATTTTTACTCTCAAAACTAAAATAAAGAGTAGAATTTTCATGTTATATTGATATCAGTAATATCATTAGTGAACATAATAATTTTAATGAGCTCCGAAAATTAAAATAATTCGACATTCTATCCTCACTTGTTTAACACGACATAATTGATTAAATTTAATTCGTTTTTGTTTGATAATAATAATTAGACCAATGATTGTCCCAAGAACGAATAAAAAACAAATGATAGTCGGTATAATAATAATCCATTGTGAATGTCTAAATGTTAATAGACGTTCTTGTTCGTCTTTAAGTTCAAGTAAAAATGTATCTTGATGATTTATTCGTTGTTCAAGTTCAACATTGAATAAATATTGACCTAAAGGTGGTTTTATTAAAGGTATAATTGTACAATTAGATAAAAGTTGAAAATAATTTTCAATGATTATTTGAGGTCGACATAATGTTGAATTAAATATATGTACAAATAAAAATTTATTTTGATTTATAATTATATATTTATTTATTAAAAATGGAATATTACCATATTGATCAAGTATTCGTACAATAATTTTTATTTTAAAATAATTATTAACAAATAAATCAATAATATAAATGCTTTGTTCAGTTCGATTAAATTTTTTTAATGTATATAAATCACCTGTATATGAATCAATATAGAAATTTTTTGTATTATCAATTGAATAAATAATATTTCGACAAAATTTATTTGTTATTTTATGCATTAAAAATGTTTTAATTGGTAAATTTTCTTTTATATCAATAATATAAGTTTTTTGATTAAATGATAAATTACATAAATATTCATTTGATTTCATATGAAATATATATGTTTGATTTGTACATAATAATGGTTGATCATTATCACAAGATATTAATAATAAATAATAATAATCTTGATGAATTAATTTTAAATTATTTTTTGTTGATAAAATATAAATTAAATCATTTTTAATTTGTCTTATTAATTGAATTTGAAAATGTTCAGTATCATTTAAATATAAACTTAAATTTTTTGTTGATTCATCGAAATCTTTTAAAGTTATTGTAGCAAATGGTGTTGATGATGTATTTAAATCATATTTAATTATATTTGATTTATATAAAACAGAAGGATAAATTATTAAATTAATATCAGGTGGATTATCATTAATATTTAATATATGAATTATTAATTCAGCAAAACAAGGTGCAATTGATGATGGTGAACGTGCTTCAGCTGTTAATTTATATATAGATATTGTTTCATAATCAACAGGATTTAATAAGATTAATTCACCTGTAAGAGAATTTAAATAAAATGTTTTATTTGTGTCACCATGAAGTTCATATTGAATAGATAATGATGGAGCTGAAATAGCTTTTATTAAAGCAATTTTTGTATAAATTTGTGTTGATTCACTTAGAAATATTTCATAAGAATTACGATCAAAATAAAGATATGTTGCATTAGTAAAACAAATTATAAATATGAAACGTAGTAAAATCATCTATGAGAAAAATAAATGTAATAGTTAAGATTGTCTTTGTCTTGTTGAAGATATTTAATAATGAACGACAATTGTTTAATGTTGATCAGTAGAGATCTTACCTTGATCTGCATGTTAATCTCATGTTGTTAACAGACATAAACTATGTGTATTATCGTTTAGAAGGAAAAGAAAAACGAAATTATCTATTTCAAGAATGATAAACAAAAACAGAATATTCATTATTTAATAAGTAGAACAATACCTGTATACAGGATGTATTAACAAGCGAAATCAATGATAAATACTGTTCAAAAAATACACAACTAACTACTTATCATATGTTCATCAAAAAAAAAAAAACCTAAATGAACATATTCTACTGATTTCATATAAATGATACATAAGGAAGCTGTTGTTATGTTTTTTTTTTCTTATGTACTTTATTGAACTCATATATTAGCTGATGACATTTAAGTTTATTTTTCTTTCATAATTGATGATAAGATTATACAACTCAATTTAAGACATACACTAAAGTCATAATGGACATTAGTCTATCTCTATTCGATTTTAAATTGAAAGGCGATTGATGTGTCAACTAAGTTAAATGATCATTTTATGTTTTGTATATCAATCTCATTTCTAAAGTGAGCAAGAGAAATCGACATATACTTATTTTAAATGGCGCCGCTAAACAGAAAAAAAAAAAAGAACAGGTTATTGTGCCTATACTTACCACCTACTGTCAATTAGGTACAATGCTTAAAAGTATAAAGTGTGCGTGTGACCATGGCACTATTATAGACGTGATCCTACTCGTGCAATTTGTCTTGAACAACGACACGAATAGGATTACGAGTCACTTTGTGTCTATACACTAACGAGACAGAGTAGCAGCTTGCATCTTTTCTTCTTTCTATTATGAGAACTCCTATTAGAATAATTGTCAGAGAAAAGAAAGAGACAAATGAATTTGTTGAATTGTACATTAAAGGCTCAAGAGAAAAAGACACTCGTAATCTCTTACTGATGGATAATGATGAATGAGCCTTGTATTTATTTCACAGGTGCACATATACATCTAACCAGCATCGTTTCTATCCACATTAAGTTAAATATAATATCATTGAAATTTCAATCGACTTTGTCAATGACTGTTTAATAAAACAGATGAAAGACATTGTCTTAAAACATGTATTGTTTTTTGATTCAGTTGTGATATTGAATGAAAAAAATAGATATACATACTATATAAATTATTTTATGCATATGATAAGTACAAGCAATTAGATTTTACTTTTTTAAGTGCACAAAATTAAATAATTTTTTTTTTTCTTTCATTCAAATGATTAATTAAATATTCTAAAGAATTTTCTCAAATGAGAAAGTAATTGATACATATAATCAAACAAACAAAAATACAGATATTGGCATATTTTTATGATCACAATATTATTCGTATCAATACATTATACGATAAACACAATAGGTTTAACAACAGTAAAAATACGAAAAATATATGTAAATGTTTATTTTATGGCTAACCATTATTAGTGGAAAATAGATAAGGAAACCATACCTTTGAAGTCTCTAAAAAAAACTTGGCGACATATTAAAACAATAATCGTGAACTACAATCGGATAGAACACTGTTTGTTTCCAATGAATGATGGTTTTGTAATCAATTAGTATTCCTCATTATATCGCCAATAGAATTAGTTTCGTTCATGTAACCTGAATTTCTACCAATATATTGAATATTTCCTAAAGCTAATTAGTTTACTTTAAAGAACGTTTTTATTAAAAAAATTAAGTGCATAAGAAAAAAGATATTAAAAAAACAACCTTCATATATACATATTAATGCTTCGAATTAAGGTTTTCTCTGAAAACACTTCATACCTAGTCGTATTTTTATTAATAAATTAAATATCTAAAGCAAAACATGGAATAAGAATTGTAATTGAAAAGTGAAACTCAAAGAATAACGATAGAAGAAGTCTCGTAAATAATAGTTGCTATCCTCTAGCCGCCATTATATCGCGATCTAGTGCGGCATTATGGGTATCCCAGCGGATATTAGGTGAAAAAGCTTGTTAGCGCAGCCCCTTTGGGGCTGAAATGTGGGATTCACATACACACTCTAGCTTGATTAAACTAATACAAAATACGTAAAGTGATAAATCTCTCGTAGACTATAACTGTCTTGCAGAGTGATCGATATTTAGAATGATGACTTCTCTAATTTCTGCATTTTCAACAGAATTTTTTCATTTTTCTCTATGAGCGCGCTATTTTTTGTTTGCATTGTTGCTATTCGCTCATTATTTTTCATTTTTTTGAATTCGTTTTTCTTAATTTAACATTCTTATTATTATAATTATTGAGCTGATTGACAAATAAGTCTGTTTTACAACTTCATGATATCTACAGCATTCCTTATGCAATAGCATATATATTAATCAACTCACAAATAATGATATTCATTATTTTTCAAAATTATGACTTGATCAATTTTCCAAAAAAAAAACACTCGAAAATCTGGTACCTTTTATTATTGGTTGCTAAGGTCTGTAATGGGAGGTTCCGTTGCTATGGTCTGTAATGGGGCCTGTCTGTAAGGGGTGGGGAGCCGCAAAATCTCGAACTTAAAACTTACACTCACTATTTTCTTCGAAAATATACGTAAGTTCCACGAAATTGAAAGTGTACTTCCTAACGATATAAATAGAACTACATATACTGTGACTTGTGGATTATTTCATAACATAAAAGTCTTTATTCCTCCTATTAGCGTATTTATCGGAAAATATAGAGAAAACTTTGTCGAAAGGCACCGTTAAGGATTAGAAGTCTTTTCTTATTGTGAACAAAATAACAATAAGGAGAAAATATCTCTGAAGAAATTATGGATAATCCACACCCAGGACAGCTTATACAGCATTAGAGAAAATCAGTGCAAGCGTTCCAGGGTTGAGCTATAGGTCTTCAAGGTAAAACTTATTTTTCTCGACATAGAAACACTTTTATTAAACACTAATTTCATATTTGGATTCAGCGTCGAAGATTACATAGAATGATATATAATTTATAAATCTGCTATTAAAAAACATTTCCAAGTATATGAAAAGTAAGACGATCTCACGAGGTAACCGGAACGATGAGTGCGGAAACAATAAGCACGACAAAAGTTCAACACGCAAAAAAAACAAGGGTAAATATGGCATCTATTAAAAGATCAATCAATATATACGGATATGATGGTATGAATGTTAGTCTTCTCTCGGCATACACCCAAATCCAATAACAGAATTTCAATATTTCAATTAGCAAATAGTCTAACAGTATTACTGAAATCGCTCTTTTATCATTCTCCTACTTTAAGTTTCTAGTGATGACAAAAATTTTGTGTTATGTGATCCAGTAGATAAGAGCATTTTTCTTCATTTAGGTAAAAACAATCCAAAAAATTTGAGTGCATGCATTCCTAGTCTTCTATTCATTCCCATCGACACCAGAAAATGAAGTCTTTCTTCGTTAAAAAAATCGCATGTCTGTCTGATCTATGGAGAAATGTTCATTGAACGGCAGTAGTGCGAACAAAAAAAGGAATATCTTTTCAAATAGATGAATGTGAACGCGAAGTTTAGCTCAATTCTTTTTTAAATTGTTCAATCTCATTAATTTGATGATATTGATATTCATGACAAAACTAAATATTTGTTCTTTTAGTTTCAAATCATTATAATTATGGTTTAACAAAGTGGAGAAATTATCCTAGACTCTCAATTTTGTACATCTTGGAATATTTCACTATTTAATTGATAACTCGCAATCAGTTACTGAAATCAATGATTTTATATGTCGATTATTAACGTAGGAAACAAGTCTTGTTTTTTTTTGTTATGCTAATTCAGATATTTGAAGAAAACCAATTTAAATTTACTACTACGTATAATTCGTTAAAACAATGATGAATAAGTTAAAACTAAAGATTATCTATATTTCATCGTGTCAAAAGATTATATTTTCGAATGATGTCAATCGGAAATAATTGACTAATGTCATTCGTTTGTTTTGAATGTTATAATAAATGTAAAGGGTCTAGACAATGTGCTTTCAAGTGAAAGAAATTATTATAAATATTTATTAAATATAAGCTAATACACAAAAAGGAACAATCTGAATCCCAAAATCGAAATATATTTCGCATTATAAAGATGCTGCAAATAACGAAGTAATCAACTTATAAATCAGCATGCAAAAACATTTCCTAAAATTATTATCTACCAGTGTTTGTAGTAATCCTTCGATGCATGCTGATTTTATACAATAGAAACTATGTCTACTGTTCTTAAAAGAGTATTTTAGTTTTTGAATACTACTCTTTTGAAAAAATTGTACTTAAACGAAGGACATTAAATCATATACGAAAGCTCTACTGACTTCTTGTAATTTATCCGTATTTGATCAAGATTTTTTTTTCATACGTGTTAACATGTAATGCTGACATCAAATTTCTAGTGTGGTACATTTTTTTTTTAAAAACTTTTATCACTAAAATTATCATGATAAACGATTCATCAATATTTGAGTATGTATCATGTTTTTCTTTACTACGAGCTATCTTTATCTTGAGTGCATTTTTCCTCTGATTGTATTACACGTAGTAGTACTATGTTCTCACCTGATGTTTTTTTGTTTTGTGAGGTTATATAGACGATTATTAGTCTAAGTCTGCCCTCTCTAACTTACTAAATACTTTTTTTTTCTACCTTCCTCTATCAATAATAAAGCAATATATTACTACTAAAATGTATATTTTTGATTATTTTCAAGTAAGTAATGTACGTAGCATATAGTTAAAGTATAATAAATGAGAATTTGTGAAAAATTCATGTTCTATCTATAAAACTATTTGGTCAAATAATGATTCGATAACGAATACAGATAAAGGACATTTTTCACGTTCAACACAATTGTCAACATTGAATATTCATGAGGATTTGTTCATCATT